CTCAAGGATCTCATAAATTAGAATAAGGGCAGATTTTTCCTGGTATGTGGAAGGAAGCTTACAAAAGTGTGAGATTTCATCTTGTTTTAAAAATGGGAATGCATGATTTTTTTTATAATTATGGGCAAACACTATCATTCAACTTGCCAATAGCATTTGTAAAAGAGCGAGGCGGTGGACACTAGAAGGTTCCACTAAGTTCGGTGGAGGCGACCTATCAGGGGTGTTAGATATATTAGGAAATAATTCTTGTTAAAAGTTATGAGTATTGAATTTATTTCATTGGATTGTATTTATTTTCTTTTTTATTTTAGATTTATTTCTTTGGATTTGATTTATTTTCGTTACTATTTTAGGTTTCTTTATTTTATATCATTTTTTTTTTCTCCAAGCAATTATTATGAATTAATTAATTGGAGATATATGTGTTTTATCTTTCTTTTCGTGTTATTTTTTTTTTATTCTCTTTCATATTCTAAGATTCGTGAAAGGGTAATATCCATAAAACAATTCCGCTGAATTATGAAAATCAACGTGGTATCAGAGTCTTGAAACAAATCCTAAAGTCTCCTGCCACTGAAAACTTCCTATTCCTTACAGCCGACAATTTTTGCCGTGCTGCAGACCCTTCCTTCGCCTCTTTTTTTCAGTTTTTATGCTGAAAACTTCCTCTCCCTGTAGGCCCCACTGCGGGGAATTTCTCCTGCAGCCTTCCCCGCTGCCGAAATTCCCTTATGCAGCCTTTCTCGTCATCGGCTCCTTCCCTGTAGTTTTTTTCAGCCGTTGGTTTCCCTCTTGTCGACGAGCTCTCCTTCATGCAGGGACTCTTCTCTCGTAAGATCTACCGCGGGTTTCTCCATGAGAGATCCATAGGGGAATGCAGAGGAGAAGAAAGAGCGCGAGTAGCGGTTTGATAACGTGCGCAGAGTTTTCACATTGCCACAAGTTTTCTGATTGATTCCCTCCTAAAACTTGCATTACAGTCTCTCTAATCTTTCTCTCATAATCCTCTTCCTACTCCTACCACCAATGTAACGCTATCGACACCCTAGCATGTCTTTGTTTTTGGAACTGCAAGACCCTTGCAATGTCCCCGCCTCCCCTGCGTTCGTCGTCTTTCATGGGGAATCCGTCACAGATGCTATCGCTCCACCTCATTTAATAGCAACCTCGATCCCTAGCTTAAAACCAACCGTTCTTCCTTCTAATCAGCGAGAAGATGCACAAATTCCATTTTTTTTTTCATCGGCGTCAGTGCCTCTGATGTTCTTGCATCTGAAAGAGGAAATAAGCTGCCATGGGGAAGGCCGACAAATGAAGCTATTGGTACTGCTCCGGTAGTTTTGGGAAGCCCTTCTTCTTGGTCGAGGCTATCAGAATCCGCCAAAACCTCTACCAAACCTTAATTAGACGGATCGACCCTTATTCTGGGTTCGGACTCACTTCTTATGCAGCTGGAATTTGCTAACCATGGCGGTGGATATAGTGTGATGATATTGGAACTAGTGGTAGCTTTTCCGGTAATGGTGAACCCTTATCATCTTCTTTAAGTTTGGCGAAAATCTCTCAAAAGATTGACAACCTGATAATGGAAATCGCAATTGGGACCAACATTTGCAGGCGTCTCATGGCTAGGTGGATCAAAGGGATCTACAAAGGAGGCATGGTGGCAACAGCCGCAGGAGCAACTGTGGAAGCAAGCATAATGAGGGTCGTGGTGGTTGTGATTGGAGTTCTTATAGGCTTCCAAGTGTTAGAGACTCCCACATGCTGCGGAACCAGTCGAGCCTGCCAGTCATGCGACCTCATATGCCTGCTATGTTCTTTCTATTTTATGTAGGCCATACCTTATAACCTTTCTCTACAACAAGCCCCTCCAAAGCTTTTCTCTACTGCCGTCCTCTGAAGCTTTTTCTTGTAGCAAACCCTCCAGAACTTATTTTCTGCAACAGACCCTCTTCCGAAGCTCCTCCGGAGCCTTTTCCTGCAACAGACCCTCATTTGGAGCTTTTTTTCCGCAACAAGCCATCCTCTAGAGCTTTTTCCTGCAGCACTCTCCTCCAAAACTTTTTTGTGCAACAGACTCTCCTTTGAAGCTCTTTCCTGGAACAAACCCTCTTCCAAAGTTTTTTCTTGCAGCTAGCTCTTCTTCAGAGCCTTTTCCTGCAGTAGGGCCCTCCTCTGGAGCCTTTTACTGCGGCAGGCCTACCTTTGAAGCTTGTATATTTCCCTGTAAACTTTCCTATAGAAGCCTTCTGCCTACATACAAACATTGCAGAAATTGCAGCCAAAGAAAACCGCAACCAACTAGAATTTAGCTTTTTCTGTATGTTGTCTACTTTTCTACTACATTACCTGTAGGAGCCTTCCGCCTATCTGCAAAAACTGCAGTCAAATAAAAATATTCTTAAATGCTCTTGGGGTTGATTGTCAAGTACGGGAAGAAGACTTCAAGTTCTACCTCACAAAGAATCTTTCTTGCCCATGTTTGATATTTTCAAATCCAACTTGAACATGTTGTCAACCATGTTTCAAATTGAAAGGGAGTGTTAGAAGCTATATTAGAAAATAATTTATTCTGATTATAAATTATAATGATTAGATTTATTTCCTTGAATTGAATTTATTTTCTTTCATATTTTAGGTTTTTCTATTTTATGTCGTTTCTTTTATCTCCAAGTAATTGTTATGAAGTAATTAATTGGAGATATAGGTGTTTTATCTTTTATTTTATGTTATTTTCTTTTTTTTTTGTCTTTCCTATTCTAGGATTCATGTAAGAGCATTTATATCCCCTTTTCATATTAATAAAACAATTCCACTGAATTCTGAAAATCAACAAGGGGTTTCATCTAAAGTACTAGGAACATACAAACAGGAGGAAGAAGTGACCTAGGAACATGCAAAGAGGAGGAATAAATGAGGTTCTTTAAAAATTGACGGGAGAGAAGGTGAATCTATATTGTAAATTGGAACGATAAACAAAGTATGAATCGAAAATGAAGAGAACAAACATGATGAAGCTAAGAGGAAGAACAAAAATTCGCAATGGGTGAGACACAGAATAGTAATGGAGACCTAAACACTTGAGGTGTCGAAGGGAGTGAGTGGGACACTTCTATTGGAGTATGAATATTGTAAGAGTGGTAAACTAATGCCATGGGTCTTTGACAAAGAGGAGGTAGACGCTCAACCGGAAGCGCCCACAAAGTACAGGAGAAACAACACATGCTTGGAGTTGGGATGGAGTAGGCGAGCGCATGCAACACTAGTAGCTAGAACCGCTTGTGAGCAATCTAGCATAAGTTTGGCTGAGTGTGGCACTTGAGAATGAGCGAGCTCAAGCTCTAATGAAGTAAGATAACCATTGTAGGACATTATTTTTTAATACTCAAATGTCTTCCTAATGAAGAAAAAATGCTCAATGTATTAGTATAGTTAAATCCATCCAATGAAAATGGCATAAAAAAAAAAAAAAATGGAAGGTTTAATAGAGTATTAAGAGATATACATAGCATAACTTTGGCTGAGTGTGGCACTTGAGAATGAGCGAGCTCAAGCTCTAATGAAGTAAGATAACCATTCTAGGACATTATTTTTTAATACTCAAATGTCTTCCTAATGAAGAAAAAATGCTCAATGTATTAGTATAGTTAAATCCATCCAATGAAAATGGCATAAAAAAAAAATGGCAGATTTGATAGAGTATTGAATGATTAGCATGCCTAACAGACTCGTAATAATTGAAGAGAATACAAATGTACGTTTTTATAATTAATAGTCCAATAAAAAAGACTTGGAAGCTACTGAACAATTTGACTGATCAGATTCCAAGCTCATTTGCTTTTTATATTATAGAAGATGGAACATTGATAGATTTGGAGGTAATAGACTATGTTACATACTTAAAAAAAAAAAATGAAAAACAAGGATTTTGTGTTATGCCCAAAAGTTTGTGGCTTCAGTCCTGAGAAAGTATAGGTCCTAAATCTCTTTAACTTGGGACTATATTTTTAAAAAGTTGGTTATTTGGATAGGAAAGGAGGAAAAATTTTCTCATCTCGAAATGGTGGATGAAGGGCTAGTATTTAGGTAAAGATTCTACTATAATATATTAGATCTATGAATTTTTGTGTTTATTTATTGTTATGAATAGTATAACCAAGATTAACGCTCAAATCATGATTGGAATGTAAGTGGGCCATATGACTCAAGCATTAGATGTTATAGATAAAACATATAAAATTGATCATTTGCGAATTGGTTCAAACTATTTTGATGTTCCGATATGTGTTTGCTGGATTTGGACCTTTGATCAACTGTTCTAGTCTGTTATTGTTTCTTTAGTAGGAGATACTCAGAACTTTAGAATATCACACGTGTTTTAGAATTGTATTTTTCTAGTTAGTCATAAACCAAAGAAAGTTACCCTTTGCAGAAATTGAATGAGCTCGAAAGCTTGTGAAAATTCGGTAATGGGATCAAAACATAAAAAAAAATGTTATTTGTTTCATTTTCCGTTTGGTGAGGGTGACAGTAGAGCTTTTGCTGCAGATAGGCCGTGTAGGTAAATGACTGGCTATTCTTTCCTGTGCTTTTGGTGTGCTAATTGACTTATCGGGCTGGGTATATAACTGGCGATTTTTTCTTGTGTCTTTTCATTGTTCTCTCATTTAGGTGTCGTTTCTTAGCTGGAATGTTTTTTTCATAGCTGCAGTTGCATGTGTAACTTAAATCCTTGCAAGTTTAAAATGCAGAACGCCGAAAATCCTGGGTTTTTTTAATCATCTGAAGATTAAAAAGTGTTGAACCTAGTATTCATGGCTTCATTTAATTGTAGTACGATTAGTAAAATCTAAATATTTCTTTTAACGTGCTTATTTATATTCAGCCATCTTTACGTGATCATATTTTGTCTGTCTGGTATTTACAGTGAAAAATTATATTTTGCACTAAGATAATTCTTTTATATGTTTGCAATACCTCACTCATTCTTTCAGGATAGTGATGTTCGCCGAAGTCATCAGTGCTGGCTGCTTTATGAGCGTGTATATAGGTGTGTTAAATCTACTGATTAGTAGTATAATCAAATTAACTAAAGTTTTGTTGCATTTCAATAGTTACAGCAAGGTTTAGCATATACTAACAAGAGAAAGTTCATTTTTGTGGCAAGTTTTTTATCACCGGAAAAATTCTTTTGCTGTCATTTTATTAAAATTTCATGGGTGGAAGTTTTCCTTTTTCAGTGCAGTGCTTATCGCAAACTGATGGTTATGCCTCATCTGCTTGATTACCTCGGATTTTATGATATGAAAAAAGTGTCAAAATGATCCTTGACTTTTGCGAATGGTGATTTTAGTACCAGTTTCTATCAAAATGCCAATTTATTCCCTAGATTTTACTAATAGGGGCTTAAGTAGTCCTCTCTGATGACTATTTCTTCTTATACTAAAAGTGCATAGGGACTAATTTGACACTTTGAAAAGCTCTAGGACTAAAAAATGGGCCCATGTAAATAGTCAGCGGGCTATTTTTGCACCATACTCTTTATGAAAGTGGCCTGTTCTGATTACTGGTTTAGTATGCTTCTATGGTAATTAGTTATTCTGAATGTTGAAGTAGAAAAGTTGCTGAAAATCATTACTGTGCTTTCTTGGAAGCCCTATGCAAATGATCACATTTGATAAACATAGTGTATGAAGATTAGAAAGGGGTACATAATCTAAGGTTTGTCCACAGAAGGCATGTAACTAAGGGGCTTGAAGTTGATCTGGGAATAATGAACATTGATGTGGGGCGGTGGATGTTGACTGTATATGCACCATTATTTCCTTGGAAACCTGGAACTGGTTGCGAAGTGGGAGACGGATTACAAAATTTTGCTCAATGAATACAATAAAGTGCCATTGCATTTTTTTCTAGCTAGATGTTTAAACCTCTTTTGCTAAACCTAATGTATGAGGGATGGGGAGGGTGGTTGGTGGACTTTAAACTTATTGAGAAATTTTACTTTCAGCCTCTAACTTAGAATGTACTTCATTCACTCTCATAATATGATGTCTAAAATATGGCAAATCAATCCTTAGAATTAGCGGTAGAGTTGTGGTGGTGGTTTGGTTGCCTCCATTAAGATTTGGAGGTCATGGTATCAAGCCATGGAAACGACTTGTTGGCAAATGCAGGGATCAGAATATACTTATCAACCCTCCTTAGACCCTCCTGTATTGATGAACACTTTGTACATTTGGTATGTGTATTTTTGTTGCATCAATATCATTGTTTAGGCGATATAACTAATTCTATGATAGCCCTCTAAAATCCAAGATCAAGCCTATAACATAGGTACAATTTATGATATGCATTGAAAGTCATTTCACTTTCTTATGCTTTGCAATTTCGCATTAGTTGTGTTGAAATCACTATAGTTTTTTACATGCAGGTTGTATACATCAATACAATTCCTTGAATGGTCAACCTGACATTTTGAAGTCACTTTACTCTGCTTTGCAACCGTCAAGTTCACTGGAAGATCTCAGGTTGGACCCATTGTTTGATAAATATTGATTTAGCAAAGATGCAGATAGTTTTTTAATTAGGCTTTCAATATGGTGAAATTTAGTTTCTATTCTGTGTATTTTTTTTTCTGAACAAAAAATGGACGCACTCGTAAACATTTGAAGAGCAATCGTGCTACCAATTTATTATAGTACGGATATAAGAGGCAGTTAATGCATTGCACAATAGAAATATTAAACTAATAAACTGCATTCTTTTGCCTGACGCGTCTTCAAGGACATCTATTTGTTTAAATGATACCTCTTATTAAATTGCATGCATTATGACGGGGGATTACATTTGTCTGCCGCATGGGAGAGTTATCTTTGCCAAATTACCTTTCTTGAGGTTTAATTTTAGCATTTTCATGTGAACTGCATTGTATGAGCAGGCATTGTGTATTGCAATTACCAAATTTAAAATTTTGAAATTGTTTAAGATCTGTATTGGCTTTTTTTCCCCACACACTTTTTTTTTCAATTATATTAGCCATTGTCTTTTTATATCCATATCTCTATTTGTATTACGTACGAACATGAAGGCTGCCCAGTTGAGGCAGCGTATTAAGTTGTCACTTCAGAGGTACTCATTTTGTTTCATATTATTTGCGTGGTAGTTTTTGACAAAACCGATGCAAATTCTACTAGGTTTGGTCCTGCATAGTGTTCTTGTTTAGACTATTCTTGACGATTTTATTTGTTGTGCAATTCTTGATGTATGAACAAATATTCCTAAAGCCAAAGCTTGGTTCGATAGGTATCATGATGGTGGGCGCCTTTCTGATCAGCAGATGGCTCTGTTGCAGTATCAACGTGAAAACCTGCATTATTTGAATGAGGAGGCATGAACCAAATCTGAAGATTTTATTATTTCCAAATGTTTGCTTCACCGATGTAAACATTTATCGGTGTTGGAGTAAATAAGAAATTAGAATAGGCTCCATTGTCCATGAATCATGTCTCATGTTGTAGGTACTTCGTTTACAAGAGCTGTTGAGCAAATACCAACGAGCTGATGATGGGAATACTCCTCAGGTGCCAAAATAATCTTCAGTTTAACATTTCAAAGAAGTTTGAATGATTTTATTTTTCACTTTTCATTCCATTCAATGCTCTTTTCTATATTTGACATCATATAATCTATGTTAGTGCATAGGAAGGCAGTTTTCACGAGCATTTTGTGGTCACATTTGAATCGTCTTATGTGAACCACGTGCATTATGCGATTGGGCAGCTCGACTACAAAATTCTAGTTCATGCTAAATGAACAGTAGAACAGGGTTTCGACTTTCATAAAGCTTTTATATGGAGATGGCAACGTTTCATATATTGCCACTGAAATCTTTGGCACTAGTATTACCGGGATATATATGATAACTTTTGAGGAAAGTGTATGTTCTTTTTATAAAATCAACGGATCTACACTGTTAATATAAATTTTGTTAGAATTCTTGTTTGCCAGAATTTTTATGAAGTCACATAATTTTAGCATATAATTGACATAATTATATTTCATTGTTGGCCTTACAATTATAAGTTCAAGGTGTAGTTAGAGATCTAGAGTCATAATGCTTTCTTTGTTTGTTATGAGAAGACGAAATGATGAGCAATCACTTTGTTATCCAATCGGTAGGCAGGATTCCCTTATAGAAGTTATAGAAGTTAACTCCATATAAGCAGTATGGAGAACACAAGCAAGAAGTAATAATTCTTATTCTTTTGAGTATTAGATACAAGACAATATATAGAATGATCTTGGAAGGAAATAAGGAAACTATGCATAAAAGAAACCATGAAACTATTTATGGTTATCCAAATATCTACATATTTAAATTTGTAGCTCCTTAATTTGCCTTTGATGCCAAACTTGATTTGGATTTTTTTTTCTTAAATGAATCCTGGGTTCTAATTTCTATATTGAAGGTACACGAGACATGCTGATTTAGCCTTCATTTAGCTTTATCTTATTGAAGTGTCTGCCAATCTCAATATATTTTGTATGATCTTGTTGTATTGGGTTATATATTATGTTTATTTTGTTTTATTTTTGTTACAATAGAACTTAATAAGTCCTTCCCATTTCATTCATAGTTCATTTTAGATGATTCTTAAGCATAGTAATTCACAATTCCTTGGCACATAGCATTTGTTTTTTATTCTACATTGATGTAGCTTCCACAGTTTATTTTTTGCTATATGTAACTCGCTTGCATCGAAGAATAGTGGTAACTTGATGTTGATCTTCTATTCACTAGTGATTATGCATTATCTGCATTTCTGTAGTCTTTTTATGCGACTTTATTTTTCCATTTGATTGCAACTCTACTCGGATTACCTCATAGTTAGTGAAGCACCATATAGATATTTTCTTGATGTTGCTCTTAAATATGAACTGTGTATGCAATGTTTGGTATACATGTTCTTGCCAGCTATTGGTTTTCTTCCTCCCCTACTTTTTGATTTGGGTTAATAGGAATAGAAATTGGTTTACAACCTAGTTTTTCTGTTTCCTTTAAGATATCTATTCCATATTTTTACTGGAAAGTAAAGACCTTGTTTTGAGTATGACACTTTAATTTTTAGAAAGTACTTCAGGATTCCAAGCTTCTTTATTTCAAATCTCCTCATTAAGCATGATGTTAGGTTTTTCTTTTCACCCTTATCATTTTTTATTGCAATGATATCACCAACTTTTACAATTGATCCTGTGTACTCAATATCAATATAACCTTTCAGTGTTAGGTTTCATATTTTTCATAAAGAATTCCTTTCCCAGGGTTTTATTCTATGTAGCTTGGATGCAACATTCCGTTTTCTTATTAACTCTGGAAAGATAATTACATTTGAGGGCATAATATATTCCAAAATCTTCCTTTTTTTTTATCAAAGGCAATTGTGAAGTGTTGAAATTTCAAAGCTTAGAGAGCTTTTGTGGTGAGGTAGGCATCTAATTAAAAACATGTTGCACTTCATTTTTTAATTGTATAATTATTTTGTAAAGACTATGTATTTTTGGTCTTATGCTAAGTTCTGAAAAATTGAATTTTATGATTTTAATCCATTGAAATTTTGAAGTTTAGATATTTCAAAAA